GTTCAAGTTTTTATTTATGATGCTGCTATTGCTACACTCCACAGATAATATCCGGGCCTGTAATCAGTCGTTTCATTGATTTAAAATTTTCCGTGAGTCTTAGAAATATCCGTGTTTGTAATCAAAGACATACAGTGGCTGCTATTTTTGGATCCACAGATTCCATCTGTGGAGTGTGGCAATAAACACATCTTTTTATTTAACACAGCTTCTACATTTCACTTCACTAATACAGTATACACATACTCACACGCTATCGAATAGTCGAATTGTGATAAGTGTACATGTAATGACGATAAAGATTGTAATAACTTTTTAATAATAATTTTCATCAAATCGGTCCAGATTGTTATAGCTTATTAAAAAAAGTTTGAAATTTTCGAATTAAAAACGTGTGTACAGGACAACGTCTGTCGGGTCCGCTAGTATATATATATATATATATATATATATGTAACATGTATACTACGACAGTTTCTTCATTTTTGTAATAAATTTCAAAACACAAAACTCAATTCAGTTTTGCTGCGAAGCGGTCTAATATCTTTGATTCATGCGGGGTTTACCAAAACATTTAATATGTAGAGAGAAAGAAAGAGAAAGAGAGAGAGAGAGAGAGAGAGAGAGAGGAGGAAGCGTAGAAAGTAGTAAATATAAAATCGCTTCTATTAAATTTAAAAAAAAAGCACTAAGAATGAAAAATAATTTTATTAGACGCACAGAAATAAGATTTATTTAAAATTTATTAAAAATCGTATATTTGTTTGAAACACATTAGCTGAGTTTGTTCACATATATTTCCACGAAGTAGTTTTGTCTATGTGTGTTTTACATATGAATGTGTGTTTTACATATTGTTACTGAAAATCTTTGGCTATTGGAGATCTAGAATTTTATTTACGCGACGATATACTTATCGCGTAAAACTAACAGACTGAAATCTCTTACGTGCCGATAAAAGTATATATTGTACTAAGATTGTAATCGTTAAATGAACGAACGTTAAATGAACGAAGTATATAAACGAGGAGTGAAACGAAATATATAAACTCTTATAATCATTTGTCAAATGTCCAAATATATCTTTTTTCTTGCTACGCACACAAACGTCATTCGGAATCTTAAAGATTCGCAGAATCAAAATGCACATTTTACACGTTATCAAATAGTTTGATATAATTTTTTGTCGGCATTATTTTATATCGTTATTATTATAATTGTTTGTAAATTGTTTGTAAATCTCGCAGTTTTTATTAAAATATCACCCATTTCGTGCGCGCAAGATACTTTTTTTTTTTTATTTTTTGAAGAAAGTATTACTAATGTGTGTAGTTTACAATAAAGAAGATGATACGATCAATACAAAGTATATTATGTATGCGCGTGTGTGTGTACGTTTACTGATGAATGAACAGTTACGAATTAATTAATATACACATTAAGTCTATCAGTCGGCACGTTTTTTGTACGCTAAAACATTCCGTATATCTTTACGATTAGAAGACGTTAAATTAGATTTCAAGATTATCTAATTGAGTTATAATTAGTCGTACGCGCGTTGTGAGAAGAAGTATCTATTTTTTTTTTTCTGTTTATTTCTAAACATCCTACGACGATTGATACAGAGAAGACTTTGATAAAAAAGATGTTACAAAAGTGTTAAAAACTATCATCGTGCAGACAATTCTGAACGCATAGAAATTGATCTCGTTGTCTCCGTGTGTATGTGTGTCTCGATTTAGAACTAATTAATTAGTTCTCGGGGAATAATCGGCGCGAAATCGACTGTTTTTGTAACAATTACGTTCTAATAATATATGCCATTGAGAATTATCTGCACTTACAATTAGTATTATGTATAGATTGCATATATATTTAATGTATATAATTAATGGTCTTTAAGGTTTGAGTATTTTTTTTTTCTCTTTTTTTCCTCGGTTTTGTTTCTTGTTTGATCGACCAATCCGAGATTGTCGCGCATCGCGAGCGATGCGCGTACATCACTGTTCGAACACACTACTTAAGAAGGAAGTTCGAAAAGACAAATGTCACAAGTATACAGATCTTACATAAATCGTCAACTGGGAACGAATGAACAGGTATAAGTATATAAAAAAATTAAAAAAAAAAATCAGTAGACTACAAAGAGAGTCTTGGAATAAGATAGGCGATTTCGCGATATGTGAGATATGTGTTGTTCTCAATAACACGAGTTGTTTCTGGCAGAGCGTGTTGGTCCTGCGAGTATACACATAATCAAGATTCGCATATTATTTTCCTACGTATGTTCTTATATAATATAATATATCCCGATTATCCCAACTCGATCTATCGATAGAGTCCAATCAGATCCTGGCACGAGCACGGATGCATCATCTGCTGCTGGAGACCGGAGTTACGGGGAACTCTCTGTGTCGGCAAACCGGACAATCCGCGCACGTACATGTAGGACACCGGGCTGCGCAGGATTCTCTTCGGGCTCTTCTTCGCGTGCTTCTTTTCCTTGCTGTTATCCCATTTGTGCGAGGCGATTTTCAGACTCTGGAACGCCCGTCGCAGGGTCTCCGCGGTCGAGGTCCTCTTCAGGGAGTCGCTGTCGCTGCTGCTGTGCACGTCCGACGGGCTGGACGAGTACGACGAGGGCGAGACGCCGCCGCGGGGTAAACCCCGGACGTCCTCGGGCAAGCTCCAGGTGCGCTCCGACGATCTCTGCGCGCTGCTGCTCAACCGCTCCTGCGATCGCGTCGGTCGTCCGCGCAACTGCTCCAGGTAGCAGAATGTTCTCGGAGATCTGGAACGGGACAGCCGTTCGCCACTACCTCGGCGCGACAAACGCTCGCCGCTGCCGGTACTGCCGCCGCTGCTGCAACCGCTGTCGGTGCTGCACTCGTCGTCGCCGATCTCGCCCACGGGCGTTCGGCCGCGCTGATGATGATGATGATGCTGACTATGATGATGATGATGATGATGCCGATGGTGATGCTGGCGATGTTCGCTTATGTCGGTCAGCTGCGTGAAGTCCTCCGTGTCGCTCGACATCTCTCACTTGATCACTCAAAAGCTCGCGCTAAGTGTTTTACTGAATAAATTCAGTAAGAAATTCAATAGGAATTGCACTTTCCAAGAGAGAACAACGCCGACTTTATCGCTTATCTGTCGTATATTTATAATAAATATACCGCGCTGTTGTAATTCTATAAATTGAACTACTGAAAATTCTTCGTTGCTTCAAATGTTTATCTCTGTATTCGCGCGTGAATGAAGAGTGCAACGATATCCCTCTTCTTGAATCCCTCTGTTATGACGGATTGCAGACCCGATACTTTCGGAGTATTTCAACACTCGCGCGTATTGTTGGTTATTATTTATCTTATAATTTTTGACCGTTTGATCGAATCGAACAGGTAAATCGCGCTCCTCTTTGTCGTGCCTCTCAGAAACGACGGTGCGAGCGTCTCGGTTTTACGAAATCAAACTGAGTCCGGTACGCTCGACGCGCGGTCTTTTATACCCTCGCGGGTGAATGCGGAAATGCGCGCATGCTCCGCTATCTCCACGTGAGAATACGTGTGCCGAAGGGATGCTGTGAAGGGGGTTGCTTGAACGCGAAACAGTTGCAGGCAATTTACGACAATTGAAACGCGGCCACGCTAGAACGACTGCTTTTCGATTCGAAGAATCTGCGATTTCTGAGAAAAGCCATGAACGTGATTTGACATAAAATGCGTTTTATCTCTGTAACGATGATGGTTAAACGTGTAACTCTCGACGAGATTGATAATTTATTTCAGAACAATAAATGGCGTATTTTGCTTCCGATTTGATCTTGAAACATTGTGTTTATTTTTCAATTCAGAATTGAAAATTTTCTCTAAAAAGTTACAAAACTGGACACATCTTAATTATTGCAAATATATTTAAAGAGTTTAAAACAAGATAAGAGATATATTTTGTGTCATTCATAAAAATTATTGATCGATTCTTTTCTAATAACGTTATCGGATATTTGCTGCGATTGCATTGCATTAAACATGATAACACATACGCATGTATTACGTACGACACATAAGTTATGTGTTGTTCGTGGTTTGTGCACTTGTTAATATTTTATCGTGAAAATTCTGATTATATATGCGTCGGATGTACTTCAGATAACAATCAGATAACGGCGTTCTCCTAACCGATATCCACACGGAGAAAACTGTTATGGTTGCTAGAATCACATTATCTATGGTTAGAACAGCAATTGATATGAGTTCAAGTTAAATAGATATTACATCAAAAGTTGCTGTTGACATAAGCTCATTTATACAGTTCGCACAGCCATAT